CTGCATCTTCTCGAAATGAGATACTTCCTTGATGGAACCTCGGGGTTTTAATTTTCTTGTTTCCTTCTATATTCCCGTCATGTGTTAGCTAGAGCTATCCTTCTCCTGATAACACATCAAGTCAATTTGATCCCCCACAGAGGCACAATAACAGGGAGCTCCGGCGGCGTGGTGTAGTAGCAGATCGGCTTCAGCGGCGCCAACTGGTCCTTTGAAGCTTTAGAGGTAAATAACGTTTTCATCACGGATAGCCTAGCATACAGCTGTTGCATCGCAAAATATGCTTTTTGCATAAGTTCACGTAACGAACATCTGTTTGCTTTGTGATTCTGGAGTTGCTGATGCAGGGAGGTAAGTGACTGTTATCAGCAAGTGCCGACGAAGAAAGCTGCACCAACACGTAGAGAGAGCATTTGTCGCTTTCCTCTCTCTACTTCTCTAGCTATTGTCAGAGCCGGCCTGTGCCTGGTATGATAGCCTCCCATTCAGAAACCGGCAGTTTATCAAGCTAAAAGCAGCAGATGCAGAATATATTCACTAAATGTGTAGAAAGAGGGCTATGTTCTTACTTTGGGAAGTCTAATATGTAGGCTGTTGAGAGGGGTACTCGATATCACCAGCACATCTGTCGATAACCAACAATTGCATTAGCAGCCAATATGAGTCTGTGCTAAAGAGCATCGCTCCTCAAAGGTAAAGATGAACACAACTATTCACGCTCCACTGACCTGAATGATAAATAGCACTTATTATAGTTACACTTTTTGGAAGGAGTACCACCACCCCCTGATAAGAATAATATCTGCCAACATTTCACGCTCAGCCTTTATTCCACCCTCACTTGTTATTTGCCTCACTCTGTCCATTATCGGAATGATTTGTCAATTGTATAAATATGCAAACACTAGGCATACATACTGGCAATCTCTCTTTGGTCGATGCCTTGGGCTTTCACTTGTCTCGACCACCTCTTTCTTTAGGAGGCCCCAGGATGATGTACCTTCACTACCATGCCCTTTTATTGTATTGATCCCACAGATACGTTAAGGATGGTGATGTTTCCCTGTGTACCAGTGCTAGGCTGGCCTTGTTGAAAGCGAATGGCTGATATTTCTAAACATATTTGGCAAAGCCTGTCGATATGATGGAAGAATTTGCCTTTGCTTGAGCTTTCATGCAATGAAACGGCCTGCATATATATCAAAGAGCTGCACCAGTGCTACGAAGAGACGAGATACAGAGAGTCTTTTTGGTTCCTAGGTTTCTCGTGTCTTAGCTCGCTGGCAAGCCCTCACCTGCTAATACAAATAGCCCAGGAACTTATTCAAACTTCCTAGAGCTAGAGGGCACTCAATCCATCAAACCAACTCCCATGTGCCGGCTGATATAGAAAACAAGTATGATGCAAAATCACATCCCACATCAGTACCCAAGCCAGGTTCCGCTAGATCCGTTGTATGGACTAGGTCAGAATCATTATTGTCAGCACCCACCTTCCAACGCCGTGACACCATCTAAAAGACCGATCGACGAAGATGACGATGACATACAGTTCATTTCCGAGAAGCCCGTCAAGAAACTTCGAACCAGTGAGAAGCGACCTGCAGTACCTGCGACTGAACGACCACAGATCCCATGTGCTGCTACTCTGGGTACCGCTGCTACTGGTCCTACTATTGCTCCAAGCGTTCCTGCGATGGTTAGTCAAATGCCTGACGTTGACACGAGGGATACGGAAAGACGATTGAGCACGGGAATGGTTGGTCTACCACACGACCGGCAGGCAGTGGAGCTTACTTACGCCCTGAGAGGAGTGTCCATGCCGGTACTAGAGAATTTCGTGCTTGACCAGCCTTTCCGCAAGTCTCGGTTGCCGAGTCCTCCCGATCTCTCACCGAAACAGCTTCCGTCCTCTGCGCCTCCGGCAATTTCTGATGTCTCAAGTATGCACAGGGCTCCTAAAGCATTCGGCATTGGAAAACCCTCGGACTCTCATATACCCTGTGCAAGCTCAAGCCATACCCCTCGGGATGGTGGAACACCAATCATGACACCAGATTTGACGATGAACCCGGTTGACACTCAGCAAACTCATGCTTTGAAAACAGCTACATACCCGGGGTGTGGTGCCAACTCGGCCTCTCCGAATCATGACATGAGTGTTGGTTCAAATAGTGAACCAAATCCTAACCCCGGTCCTTTAACGCGTTCCCAAGCTGCTCATCACGCAGGTCGTTCAGGGAGTCACCCGAAATTGGCGGAAGGCCATAATCATCTCATGAAGCCGGCTCACTCACAGAAGCAGCCGTGTCAAATTTGCTCCCAGCTAAGACACCCGGCTCGACTTTCACAACAGGGCGTGCCGACGGTCAATACGAATCTCCGACCTCACCTCATGCCGCATTTACACTACCAGACGCCTTACGGTCAACACCTACATCCCCAAATGATACCAATGCCTATGAGTGGCAATATGCACCGATTCGGAACGAACTTTGCTCCGGTAATGGTACCAGCTAGCAACAACACCTTCGTCTCCGTACCTGCTCATCCACAACCTCAATTTCTGCCACGACAAGTGACACCCCAACAACGACTGGAAACAGACAAATGCAAGCAGTCTGCTTCTAAACGCTCTAGTAAAACGCACCCGCCTCAGGCAAACCAACCAAAGAATGCCGTACCCAGCCCCAGTACCGCCTCTAGTCCCTTGAAACCACCTCCCTCTCTCATCCAGCCCACATATCGCAAACCTTCGCCCAACTTAATAGTGGACGTGGCCGAAACATGTCAGGAGAAGTTTCCATTCGCAGAGGTTGCGACGAGACATAATGTACCTGTAGACAAGGTATTCGATGTCTTTGCCGCGATTATCCAGGTCAGTCCGTTGGAGTCCTTCACCCCCTTTTTGGCATATATCGCGAGCGCGCTTCATCTGATTAAGGAATTCCTACTTCATTACTGCTACACACCCTCAAGAAGCTTCTCATTTATTGCTATCCACAGATGTAACTGACTTTGGACTGTTGAATAGGTGCCACTCCTGCGGTGTCCGACGGACCGCCGAAGAGCCGGGAGATTAGCCACAGCGCGAATCAAGGAATACAACAAAGCGAAAAAGGACATTGAAGATTCTGGAGCTGGGAGGACCGAAGGCCAAACACCGGTAACCATGGTGAATGCCACGAATATCGCTCAGAGATTAGGACCTGTTGAGCCTCCCGAAGGGTTCACGATGGGTTCAACAGCCGAGGGTTCAGGGCATGCATGAAGAAGCAGCGTGAAGGTACACATACTAAGAGTGGTATCAAGAATTGAGTTGATTCAATGAAACGGGAAGGTAGCCCCGATGTCTACGCCACTATGTCTGTCATAAAACCTACCGCTTGTTGGGGTTACGATTATGAGTAAATTAATTACCCTTAGTTAGCTTTCCGCCCCTTAATATTGCTACATTCTTCATCCGCAATTTGTTCCCAAATGTCAAGATGGTCTTCATTATCAACCACACGGCTACTAGCAGATTTCCCAGTAGGATGGAAACCACTTCGTTCTGCTCTCATTCTGAATGAATCAGGTGACAAGAAAGAAGTAGGGGAAGAAGACAGAATTTGAGGCGGCGTAGAAGGAGGAGGTGGTGATGGCGTCTTTTCCTCCCAAGGAACCGTCTTCTCGGTCTCGGCACTCGAAACCTGGCGCCATCGAGCTACCTCTCGTTGGCATGCTGCATCATGGACTACACGATTAGATGGCAGTGGCACACGGTCTTGTCGATGTCCACGGGACCTTTCTCTGGAGTCTTTCTCCGCGTGCTTTCGGTATGTCGACCGAGGAGCTCCCATCTGAGCCAGAGGCGTCGAAGCCCGCGGCATACCATCTTGCTGCTCTCCTATACCCCCCTTCGCCTTCTTCCTCTTCTCTTGCTTCGCCATCCACCTCACCTGCTCCTTTTCGCGCCTCTGGCGTAATGCAGCTAACAATCGCGGGTCGACCTCGTGTAACTGCTTGCGATACGTGAGTGCAGCCCAGTGTCCGTTCATGAGCTTGTACTGCTTTTCTACGACTTCTTTCCCGTCGGGGGTCAGATAGGCGTTCTCGAGTCTGGTATCCTCACATTCAGAATCGGAGTTGGGTATCCAGGATGGCTTTCGGGTTCTGTGGCGCCTGGGTGGGCTTAGAGACTTGTATAGATTCATGTTTAATTCGTTTCCGCGCTCGGCGAGGTGGCGGACCTCGGCTGAGCGCTCTTCGTACTTGTCGCCCTTTAGCTGTGCCATCAGCTCGGCGGCGCGGACCTTTTGCTTGGAGTCACTCATTGCAACTTGTTCTGCTTGTTAGATGGTTACGTATCTTCGCTTCTGGTTTCTTGTGGTGATTGTGCTTAATGGAGAAATTATGCTGTCAGTGATCGCGAATCTGCAGCGTCGATGTGGGATGTGCGCAAATAAGAACTTATAAGAACAAAGAATTGTCTATTTTGACTATTGTATCAGTATTTCCAGTGTCTGTTTCATATTTAGTCTCTAAAGAGATATCTTTGTAGTCAAGCGTTGAGTAAAGGGGCATTTTTATGTCAATCTGAACCGGAGTGGTCCTGTTGGGTGACCACTAGACTTGGCAATGAAACGATGCTTTGTTGTTTGTAATCGAACAAGCCGTTTCTTCTTGCTTTCCCTCATGTAGTCCTTTGATGTATAACTGATAGATTTAGTTTCTCTTTGTGCAAAAAACAACAAGCTTATTCTCGATGCGTCTACAGATCCAGCCTTCCGTCTATACGCTCGGCGCTCAACACACCGCGCTACTACAGATTCAACTATGCTTGATAGTTCTAAGGGTTCCATGCATCAAATGATTATGAGCCATATAGTTCTAAAAAATAAGGTATAATGTAAAGAGGCCGTATTCCGGCTCGCGTTAGAGACTCAGGCTGTATGTAGGCCAGTGTTATAGCACTCTTTTTCCTATGACGAGATCACCCACAGAACGCAGAGAGACAGTCTCGATTGGTCTAGTGGTAAGGATACCTGCTTGTCATTGCCAACTCCCTCAGAATTGGGATAACGGATCGCAGGTGGCCGGGGTTCGATTCCCCGATCGAGAGATTATTTTTGTCTTTTTTTCTTAACTCACATTTAATTATGCTCGTCGTTCTTGCGTTTTCAACAGATTGAAGGATGAGTGTATCGAGCTGGTATAGTATCTTCCCGAAAGACTTGAATTTGCACCGCAAACCACTGATGACCTACAAAAGACGCCCCACGTTCCTAGTTGGGCAATAGGCGTTGCAAGCGAGGGCTCCCAACTTCATTTATTTCTAGACAACACGTTACGAACAAGTCACATGCCGTATCTTGACCCCGGTAGGACAATACCAAATCAAATGTTTGTTGACATTTGTGCTACCGAGTCATGGTGATTAGCGTATAATTAATTAACTCATCGCCGGGTTAATGACTTAGGTGCTTTCCATTTGCTGATCAAGTCAAAGCTCGCCTTCACGGAGTAGCCTATGTCTCTTCGACAGATTCCATAGTGCCAGTCTAAAGTTATTATTCTGACCAAAGGTTCGGTGAACTATGAGCGAGGCACACTAATAGAACGGCGATACCAAAGAATCGCATAACGTCCAGAGCCTCTCGCCGCTGTCCCTCTTCTCGATACCGTCTTGAACAATCGGATGAGGCTTCCCAATGCGCCCATACGGCACAACAAAGCATCCATTAGCTTCAGCGACTTCTTTCGCGAAACCAGCATACACTTCGGTGAGTGCCCCATAGCGGGGAGAGGCGGCTGTTAAGTTATGAAAAGCCGCCAAAATCCCAGGAGCGTGCCGGGCGATATTTGTCCTAATCGCACCAGGGTTAAACCCACAACTCGTGAATTCGGGATATTGGAGTGCCATATGCGTGGCGAGGATCGCATTGGCAGCCTTGCTTTGCATGTACCGTCGCGTTCTCCCATCAAACCCCGGGTAGATCGGACCGTCCAAACCCCAGTCATCCCAGACTATACCGTCCTCACCCGGAGGCGCCACAGAATCGCCGCTGCCGGCCCAACAGGACCGCACCGACTCTTTTGATGCGTCGGATCGCTTTACCGTATCAATGAGAACCGGTGTCAGGAAATGCTGCAAGAGGAAAGGCCCAAGAACGTTCGTGGCGAAGGTAAGTTCATGGCCCTGCTTGCTCTTACTCCCCTCCGGCGCAAGCATGATAGCTGCGTTGTGCCATATAACGTCTAGTCGTGTCTCCCTCTCCAGAAACGTTTTGGCTGCTTCTTTTACGCTTGAAAGGTCTGATAAGTCGACGTGTATGAAGTGAACGACATCGTTATCGGGAGTTGTACGGGGATTTACTTCGGGAGGTGGTGCCGAGGAGATGATACTGAGTTTCGCGGACTCTCCTGCCTCCTCAGATCGACCCAGCAGGTAGATTCTCGACGCACTGGCATGAAAGAGCATTGTTGCGAGCTCTAAGCCGATGCCTCCAGTGCCGCCTGTGATTATGAAGACCTAGGGCACTTGCATTAAGGTGAGTTCCCGCTGATTTCAGGAGACAAACATACCTTTCCATAGAGATCTGGAATATCCTTTTCGAAGAATATAGGCTTCTCAGTGAAGAGCCCCTTAATAAACGAAGCCATTGTGAATGAACTACGAGCTAAAGTAGAGTGGCATGATGGTCCATCAATATTTCGCGTCCACGGCCAATATTTATGAGTACACACTCCTTTCGGACACTTTCGTTACAGTCCGGATAGTGATTCGCCCGTCGCGCGTTTGAATAGCGGAAAAGTCGCCGGCCAGGGAGATGTAACAGTTATTCCCGCCAATTCCGTATCATGGGGGCATGTCACGCAATCAAATTAAGGTTTCGGTAACAGTGCAGACCACAGCGCCGACACAGTAATCAGCAACTGGGCTGTTTCTAAAAGTGTTGGTTACATGTTTATCCTGGCTGAGTGTGCTCTTGTTGCAGTTTGAATACAAAATCTAAGGTGTGCAGTCGTATCTTAGACGAGCAAAACCGGCTCAACAGTGCGATACACTCGTACCTCTGGCTGATCGATTTCGGCAATTTCACAGGAGAGATGTGTTCGGATATAATGCGAAAATGGAAGTGGAAACACCGTAAATATCATGTATTACCAAAGGGAATGGTGTTGAAAGTATAGATCGTAGTTCGAAGAGGAGAGGAATTACCATGCGCGCTTAGTATTACTGGACCAATTTAGGTTCTTCAGGTATCTCATGTAGGTTTTCTTACCAGGTAGGTTGGGTGCGCTAGGGGCACCAACCGCCATTAATCATCACGTGCTGGGCTGCGTTGCCCCTCCTTAGCTTTTCTGGTGGGGTACTGGGAGCCTGAGACCTGTAAATCACCAACTCAAAAAGAAGGGAGCACAATCCGCTTTTCATAAGCCACAAAAGAAACCTTGAGTCTCTCAAGACCTTCAATTTAATTCCTGTAGTCAAGATGAGACTCAAGGATGAGTTCCGGATAGAATTGCCGCCAACGGCGGATATGCATGTCCACTTGCGACAAGGCGAGGTTTGTATTATCATGTTCTTGGGTTCACTCTGTATCATTTAAACTAACTCCTTGCAGGTCATGAGTCTGGTGGTTCCCTACATCCGAAGGGGAGGCGTAGATACTGTGTTTGTCATGGCATGTAAAACCGAAAAGACATCTGACCTATCTAACACCCAAACTAACTCTGGCTATTAGCCAAACCTGCAACCCCCGGTCACCACTGTGGCTGCTGCTTTGGAATACAAATCCCAATTACAAGCAATCGAGCCTCAAGTTAACTATTTGATGTCTCTCTACGTGGGTTTCCTGTAACATGATTTAAAGGTCTTCACGGGCTAATAGTCACCAGCTTCATCCTTCCGTTACCCCTGATGTGATTGCTGAGGCTGCTAAAGCTGGCATTGCAGGGGTCAAGCTGTACCCCCAAGGTACGTACTAATCATATCTTTTGTCATCACCTTAAATCCATGATGGTTAATGTTTAACCAGGTGTCACTACAAACTCTGAATCGGGAGTCGCTGGCGACTTCGTTGAAGTCTACGCGCCAACTTTTGCAGCTATGGAAGAACACGATATCGTGCTGAATTTACATGGCGAAGTACCTGGAACTGTACCAAAGGATGTATCACTGGAAGAACTGTTCCTGCCTACTTTGAGTAGGCTAAATGAGAAATTTCCGAACCTTCGTATCGTTCTCGAGGTGCGGATCCGTTCTAAATACTTTTTCTGACTCTATTCCAACATTGATTTCTCTAGCACTGCTCAACTGCAGCAGCCGTCGATGCAGTACGGGCATGTGGCCCAACAGTCGCTGGTAAGCCCACCACCCAATTCCCCTCTTAGGAGCAACTCCGTGCTGTTTTTGACAATGTCTAATGTATATGGCCCCCTAGGTACGATAACGGCGCACCACTTGTACTTAACAGGCGACATAAGCGAGGTAGACCCTCATGCCTTTTGCAAGCCGATTCCGAAGACACCCTCGGATCGAGATGCTCTACTGAAAGCTGTTTGCAGCGGTGACCCCAAATTCTTCTTGTTAGTAACACTGATTTTTTTACCGCCACATCATCTCTGTATCTAACATGATATATTTCCAAGTGGGAGTGACAGTGCGCCCCATCCATTAGTGAGCAAGCAAGGTAAACCTGTCCCGGCAGGTGTGTTCACGCAACCCTACGCGACACAGCTTGTCCTACTCGCCCTGGAGGAAGCAACCGAGAAAGGGATAATTGACGAGAAGGATGTTACACAAGAGCACATCGAGGGATTCTTGAGCCTCAATGGAAGGCGGTTCTACAAGCTACCAGAGCCTTCACCTACAGGACCGCGGATCGTAGTGAAGAAGACAGGTGAAATGATACCGCCAAGCATACGGAGCGCCGATGGAACCCTCGAGGTCGGCATTTCAAGAGCTGGCGCCACTGTATTCAGCATGTATTTCACTTCTGTGTAGTCTACAATTTTATGATAACCACGAAGATTCAAACACATGATTCCTCACATGAATATTTCATTTACCACAATTAGATACAAGAGTAACTCGGTACTAAGAACCAGCAATAGGGGTTGCGAACGACGTCATCTGCTGGAGGGACTTCACCCCACCTTACAACCCTGGCTGCAGTAGCTTGCATTAGCCCAAGTCCGGTACATATCTTATCGTTGAATTGAAACATCAAGCTCGCGACTGATATAAGCTTATAATAGGATATATCTCATGAACAACAACATCGAAGACAGAAAAGAGAGCAGAAACAGCAAGCTTGAATTACTTCGTCCAAACACCAAACAACAATCTCCACAATGGCACACATGACGAACCCACTGGCAACAGTGGACCAGCTATACAAGCGCACGGCTTCATTCGGCGCGCTGCCGTCGGACCTACAAGACGCGATATTCTTCGCGACGCAGACCCTGACGCAGGCCGCGGGCCTCCTCCTCCGCCTGCCGCAATCCGTGACGGCGCAGGCAAATGTCGTTCTCGCCCGGTACTGGCTCGAGGAGCCACTTCTCGCCAACGAGTTCAGCGTATGTTGTGTTAATACTTTTCTCTACATGCTATTGTATCGTTCATTCACAGCAGAAGAGAAACGGCAAGAACAAAGTAAAAAAGAAAGAGCGCAAGCTAACCATGGCAAACAGGACGTCTCAGCAGCTTCCCTCTTCCTCGTGTCAAAACTAAGCGGCCATCCAAGCCGTCCGCGCGACGTCATGAACGTCTACGCATACCTCCTCTCGCCAGCCTCAGCGCTCTTCCGCTCTTCCTCCTCCTCCCCACCACTACCAGAATCCCCAGACCCATCGACCTACTACCTCTCGGAAAACAGCTACGACGCCGCGCGGCGGCGCATGCTCTCGCTCGAAGCGCGCATCCTGTATAAGCTGGGCTTCGACACGCACGTGGCGCTGCCACACGCGCTGGCCGTGACATACCTACAGGCGCTCGACTTCTGCGGCGGCGACGCCGCCTCCTCCTCCTCCTCTGCCACACGAGCGCGCATCACGCGGCGCGTGATCGCGCACCTGAACACAGCCCTGCTCTCGCCGCAGATGCTCTACCTG